CTTTGGCACATATTATCAATTCCTTAAGAAGTGTGGCCCGATGTGTCTTAATGTCATCGATACTGCTCCCTTCCCATGTGTCTCTTTGTCTATCCTGCTCTGTGGCAGTCTGGCCTGTGCGTTGCAACACAATTTCCCGATAATCTTTCTCTAGTGAGTTTATCATCCCCCGGGAGGACTGATCCTCGGTATTGGGGTCACTCGTTTGGGTGCCAGTCTTAGAACATTGCGAGTCGGATTCCGTTTTCGTGGACTCGAGAGTTTATCTTAGCCTCAACATCTCTCGTGTGGCATCAGCTGCCCTGATATTCCACTCTTCAGAGTACATATAAACCAATTGTATCAGGAAATGTAGTCAGTTTGACTCGAGCTATTTTGTTATTTCTCAATTCAGAGTGCGTATCTCTAACACCATTTATCACAGGATGCAATCGGTTCGATATGATGTTATCTTAGTCCTGCTGTCTTTGTTCCAACCTGTTATTCTAGAGTTTAACCTCAGAGGGCGTTTTTTTTTTTACGCCCGTTTACAATTACAAGGCAATGTTGGATCACAATACTCTGGTTAACACGTAGTGATTCATTCCTTCATCCATGCAAAACACTGTCTGCGAGAAATCCCGGACGAGACCCCATTATGTTGTATATGCCGGATTATGAAATTTTGATAAAAAGTATAAAAAGCAATAAATAAATAAATAAATCGTGAATTGCATACATTATGAAAATGTATGTAATTATATGCATAAATTATGATAATCACGGAGATAATCGTAGTCATTTATGCGGATGCTTGCGATTATGTTAATGTGTGAAGTTATGATAATTAGGCTTAGCTTCGTTATCCAGAGTTGTATCAATCGGGATAAAACGATTATCTTTGATTAAACATTTATTGATTATCTTAGTGTGTTTATGTTATGTTATTTTAGGTCTACAATTTCATATCTCATCGCAGGATACAGTTCTTATGAATAAGACAGTTTTGCATGGACTTGGAAAGAAACACTCAAGATACTTCTGTGTTAACAATTTTATTCTAAACAAACATGTGATACTCTAACATGCAAAGGCAAAGGTATACGTCAATAGATTCATTGGTGAGATTATGCAATTAACGAAACTGAAGGCTAACATTCTTCTAACAATCGTAATTCTACTTTTCCACCAGACATCTCATTAGTTCCCCCATGTATCGAGCACAACTGGCGACCGGCCGAGTTTTAAAACAAGCAGGCAACGATATTCATATGACGGGCAATAAAGGCACTTATTGTACCCTGAAGGCGAAGCATACGTCAATCGATTCGTCGGCAAGATTATATTTGTTAACGAAATGTTTGACAATAGTGGGTGGGTGCGTGTGTTCGTGGTAGAGCGTATCTGGCTCTGCCTTAATTAATTCTTCGGCGAGACTCTGACAAAGAAACAGGTTTGACAAGATATTCTCTCTCTGTAAACCTATGGGCTTGAATGCAGCACTGGCGACGTTTTAACGCCTGATGGAACTGGTGCTAGCGGGGCTGCAGTGGGAAACGTGCCTCATATATTTGGACGATATCATCGTATTCAGTTGCACCTTCGAAGAACACCTCCAATGACTGGAGACTGTCTTTCAGAGGATGCGGTCGGCTGACCTTAAATTTAAACCAAGGAAGTGCCACCTTTTGCAACGATCTGTTCGCTACCTGGGACGCATCGTCAGCTCTGACGATGGTCCACGGACCCTCAGAAAACGTCGTGTGTCCGAGAGTGGCCCACGCCAACTTCAGTGGGCGACGTGCGGCGGTTTATAGGGTTCGCATCCTACTATCGCCGATTTGTTAAGAATTTCGCGACGCTGGGTAAGCCGCTGCATGTTCTGACAGGGAAGAATCAGAGATTTAAATGGATCCCGGAGAGGGGCCACCACTCCGACACTCGACTACCCAAACTTTTCCCAGCCGTTCATTCTTGACACGGATGCATAGGGGCCGTTTTGTCGCAACGGAAGGACGGGGACGAGCGAGTGGTGGCATACGGCAGCAGGGTTCTGTCTCCTGCCGAGATGCGCTATTGCGTGACGTGACGGGAATTGCTGGAAATCGTCCATTTTGTTCGCCAGTACCGGCCGTAACTGTATGGATGGAAATTCCTCATGCGCACTGACCATGCTGCCTTGCAATATTCTTTGAAATTGGAACAACCGTCCGGTCAATTGGCTCGGTGGTTAGAATCGCTGCAGGAGTTTTCCTTCAATATCACGTACCGCAAGGGTACTCGCCATGGCAATGCAGATGCTCTCTCTAGTGGCCCGCGACTCCTCCCTGCGCCTGTCTGACGGGTACGCACTGCTGTGCGGCGCTGCCTACCCCGCCCTGTCCGGTCATGGGGTCGATGTCAAAGGATGAAGGCCAGGATGTACCCGTTGGCGCCGACAATACGCTGCAATTGCCGCACTCGGTGTGGCTACGTGAACAAGAGGCTGATGCCTCTTTGGCTCCACTGCGGGAATTGATTGGAAAACTGAGATCTCATTTGGCAGAATGGAAATGGCAGTTGTTTCGGGACCAGGCAGGAATACTGATGTGTATGGATAGGTTGTCGGACCGTTCACGCCTGGTTGCGCCGACGTCCCTTCGCCACGATCTGATCCGCGCGCTGCACGCCGCACGCCGACAAGCTGATGCACCTTGGCGTGCATGACAGCGGATGTCACTAACTTTATCCGGTCATGCCATGATTGTGCGAAGCGGAAACCGCCACGTCAAAATTATGTCCCGCCCCTACAATCGATCGAGGTGTCCCGTATTAATGAGCTGGTTGCTCTGGATATCCTGGGCCCGTTCCCTCCATCGGCTAGGGGAAATAAATACCTTTTGGTCGGGGTCGAATACTTTTCTCGCTGGCCTCTCCCTGACCAAACGGTTTCATCCATCACTGAGGCTTTCTTGAATGGGTACGTCATGGATAAGGGAGCACCTGAAGGGCTGCTCACAGATCAAGGAGGTAACTTCTCCTCTAAATTGCTCAAATACGTGTGCTCTGCCTTGGGTACAAAGAAAATCCGCACTTCCCCTTACCATCCGCAAACGGATGGCATGGTGGAACGATTTAACCGCACCCTTTCGGCCATGCTTTGCCACACAGTGAGTGAAAAACAAACCGTTTGGGACTTGAACATACCGGGTGTCCTGGCGGCATACCGCATGGTTCCACACGCGTCCACAGGATATTCACCATTTTTCCTGATGTATGGCCATGAGAATGTACCCCCGATTGATGTGCAACTTGGTGCAGCGGGGAAACAACCGTCCCCTTCCTTGCCTGACCACGTGCGGGACTCGCTTAAACGGGTTACGGAGGCACGAGAGGCCGCCAGATGTGCGACGGCCCGTACGCAGGCAAGGAACGAGAGGTGTGCGCGTCGATCGCGAACTGACATGCCTTGGTCGGTGGGCGATATGGCATGGCTCCATTGCCCTCAGGTGCCAGTGGGTACGTCCCCTAAACTGCACAGGCCTTGGCGGGGGCCTGTGAGGCTGGTGGACATTCGGAATCCCCAGAGTGTTCGCATTCAGTACGGCCAACGTCGTTGGTATGTTCATTCGTCGTGGCTCAAGCCCTATGTTGACCCGCGTGCTGGCCCTTCATCCCCACTTGTTGACCTGCCGGGGTCTGGCGTGCCGAATGTGCCACTTGCCTCGCCAAATATTCGGGAACCATCTAGAGGGTTCCACGAGGGGGTGTGGCTGTAGATGGAGCTTAGCTCCGCCGGGGGGTATATAAGCAGAGGCAGGAGAGGACTCGAGGTCGGTGTGCGAAGCCTCGGGTCCGGACTGAATCGCCGCTCTACCTCTCCTCGCCAATGACCACGTGGCGAACCTCCGACGAAGCCGCCTCTCTTCTGGGCACGCCACCAGCCAGCGGTGTGAACGGAGAGAGAGAGAGGGAGACGTGCCGCAGCAGCGGATGGGGAAGCGAGAGAACTACCCAGAGAGAGAGAGCGCGGAGCTGTGCAGACATTCTGTTAAATAAAAGACACCAGTCCAGAGTCGTCGTGGAAGTCGTTTATTACAATAGTAAGAAGCAAAAACGATAAAGATACGTACTTCTCCCACCGAAATATTTGTTGTTTCTTTTTGTTTGCATTTTGACTGCTTGTGTTGTGGTTATTGCAAACAATGATCCCTTGTATAAAGGTGTCAGTTTGTGTACCAGATAAAAGGGTAAAAATCTATTACTATATTTTGCTGCTGGTAAAGGAGGTCTCATAGTATATGATTTTTTTGCCCGTATTGAAACGGCTGGACACAGTATGGACATGAAAACTCACTTTCCTGTACAAGAATATAGCTAAACCGTATGGGTTGACGACAGATATAAGTGTGTCAAATAAAACCTCCACACACACAGTAAACACAGAGTCCCACCTATACAAACATTTAAAAATCTGCAACATTTAACATACGTTTATGCAATGTTAAATACATTGACTTAGAATCAAGAAAAGGAAGAAGACGGCAAAGGAATTAACATCACACCGCAATCAAATGCACGAATGGTGCACACCACCAGTCTCGATAGATAGCACAAATACCCCACGAACCCACCCTGGACCCCTTCCGGATACCCCTGGAGACAGCCTTGACCCACCCAAAAAATACTCAGAACCTACCCAGAATCCACTTGGAACCAACCCAGACCCCACCAGACCCACCCAGGATACCCCCCAGGATCCCCCTCAGACCCACCCCAGACCTTGCCCAACCCAACCTAGACCGCTCCGGCCAGACACCAGACCGCCCGACCCCCTTGAACCCCCCTGGACCCCACCCGAACCAACCCCAAACCCATGCCGGACCCCCCCCCCAGACCCATCCAAAACCTCCCTGGGACCTGCCCAAACCCCCACTGGAGCCCCCTGGACCCACCTTGGAGCCCCACCAGATCCACCCTGAACACCCCCCACCAGACCCCACCAGACCCCCCCCCCCCCCCCACCAGACGACATCAGAATGCCCGCCCCCACCACACTTGCTGTTCTGCCTTCTACAGACCATTCAACCTATAATTTATAACACACGCAGATGTCTTAATGTACCTCCGATTAGCACGGTTGGCAACATATGGTGAAATAGAAGTTCAACATACATACAACCCACGAACCTCGCTACCACTCTGTTGGATCACAGGCGCGTCTTACCACCGCCACCATGCCCAATGCACTATGGTGCCTGAAAAAAACCACAACCAGAAAGGATTGCCACCTTTTCTACAGACCAAACCCAGACAGGCATATTTCTCAGTCAGCCTAGGACCTTAGGTGTATCAAGACTGTGCAGTAAATAGTAATAAACTTCAACAGAATTCCACCAGATCTCGGTACATATTCATTCTTGCCACCTCGACTGTCTTGAGTCGGAACCAGACAAGTGGCAATCCTACTGCCAGTGTCAACATTTTTATTTATTCGGGGGCTTATGCTGGGTGACAGTCACTCAGTAAAACACGTGCTCCATGAGCGAGCGTCCCTCGCTGTTGTCTCGCTCTTTAGGGAGCTGGGCATCCCCTGCAGTCTCGGCCCAGCCCTCATCACGGTCCAGCCTCCTCAGCGGCGCGGGGACCACGGCAGCGACAATGGCGGTCGCCAGGTCAGAGCAGCTGTGGCTCTCGCACTCCTCTGCAAGGCCCCGCCAGCCGGAAGAGGGGCACACGGCGTCGTGCTCGATGACTTCTCGGAGACAGTCTAAGGAACAACCGTGGGGTGGTGGTGTCAGCACACAATAAGTTAAGGTACAGGTGCACCATTGCAATTGCTTATTTACAGAACTGCTTGTGGAGAGACCTCCACTCGAGGGAGATCTTGAGAAACTGTCCACAGAGTATTTGGCCTATTTTTACCGACGTCATGTAACAATACGAAAATGACCAATCGACTAACTGTGGTGTACACCTTTATACGGCAGGGCAACCAAAGGTAAGATCATTTTTAGAGAGGCGTGGCCAAAGGTGGGAGAATTTAAATAACTTTTTCTGCTGCCATGCCGGGGAGAAGGAACAGTGTGTTTACTATCACACCATGGTAGCTAATTATCTTAAATTCGACAGTTTCATTTGCAAGACAAAGTCCGTGTGTTGTAGATGGTGGATCCAGAGCTGCTGGGGAGGACCGTGATGAAGGCGTGTGCATCATGGCGGGGGATTGACCTTTCCTCACACTCGCCGTGCAGGTTGATGAAGGAATAATATTTCGTCTGACTTATTGCCGAGTTGCTGAAATTGGTTTGGGTTGCCCTTTCCACTTTAGCTACGCAGATCTACAAGGCACTTGAGCTTCTTTGCTACAGAAAGGTAATGCTTCATTGAAGAGGAATGAAATGTGTTCAATAATTTATCATTGAATACTTCAATCATCACTATTGTATAGTTTAATCTGAGTCTATCACCATGAGGCACACTTGTAATGCTGAATCTTAAACCAAAGAAAACATAAAAGGCGGCACTTGAAACACAAGAAGCAAGCCGATCCCCAAGGCTTGAAGAGGTATTGTTGAAAAGATATAGAACAAATGTATAAAAATATGATAGTGGGAGAGCAAGCAAGGGTAAGGAAGCATGAGAAAGCGAGATAGCGCAAGAGCCCGGCTAAGCGCATGGATGTGCGTAGAGTTCATGCATATGGCTTCAGCAAATAACACAGAGAAGTTCATGTCCTACGAACTGTATGTAAATAGTTTTTTTTAAAGATTATTAAGCACAAAAATAGTTAATTACGCCATAGAATTCAGTGTAATAGTAAACTAAATGTAACAACATTGAATAACACTGAGATAACCTTGAATAACAGAGAAAACTAACATTGCCGCATCAAGGTTTAGAATCGTTCAACAAGATGATTGTTTCGTCTGCTACATCAGTCGGTCGATTCTGAGAGAGAGAGAATATTCGTATGAGCAATTCATGTTTCTATTGAAAGTAAGTTAACAGTAATATTTGGGTACAGTATTGTTTTTGGAAGCATTCACCGTAATATCGTATCAACGTTTACTTCACCGCATCATCATATGAATGATGCGAGAAGAGATTAACGGGTTCTTATGTTAGCAATTGACATACTCGGCGCTTTCGCTCTCTAAATTACGGCTTGAATGAGGGGGAGGGGTATGACTACACTCACAAAATTAATATCTTACTAGGAATTTCATATAACAAAAGTTATATACATAACTGTTACGCTGTGTAATTCAACAAAACAAACAACACTTAACTCCGAGTTCTCTCCAAATTTCATGAGTGCGTTCTAGACCCCACAGTTTTTTTTAAAGAGTTTTAAGCACAGAACACATAATTACATTTAAAAAAATCATTAATTATACAAACTTTTCAATAATTTCCTACTTCACTTCGAATTAAATTGTCTTTAAAACCTTCTTCTCACCAACATTACCACTCATTACCACTTTCTCCGAAGGCAAGTTTGTAAAAGAATGCATGGTACAGACAGCAGACATCTTGTGTCCGGAGATCAAAAGCAAATTTGAAAAAGTCAGCTTATCACGCAGGACTGTGACTCGCCGTGTGGAACTGATTGATAAAAAATATATAACCAGTCAATTAAACAAAAAGTCTGATTCCTTTTAATTATATTCACTAGCACTGGATGAAAGTACGGACGTAAAATACACTGCTCAGCTCCTCATTTTTATCCGAGGCATTGACAGTTTTGCGATAACAGAGGAGGTTTTGATCATAGAGTCCCTGAAAGGAACTACACGGGGAGAGGACTTGTATAACCAGGTATCTGCTGTCATCGAAAGAATGTCGCTACCTCGGAGTAAACTTGTCAATGGATCGACAAAAAAGAATCCAGTTCTAAACCTCGCCCAATTCCCCTCAACATCAGGAGGAGTGGAGGACGATGCCAACCCCAGCCGCAAGTGATGATGAAATTCTCGCTTGCAACTTTCATCAGCTAGCCGAGACCAGGCCACTGTGGGTTTTGATGGAATCCTGAGTGTGAATCTACCATCGGAGGAACAATGGTCAGTGGGCAGATCAGCTCCACGGTAGGTCCTGGTGTCAAGGACATGGGCCCGCAACCGCTGTTCCGTCACTGTAGTCCAGCAGATGTTCTTGCTTGGACCCGGCCTGCATCCATGATTTTGTGTGGATGTGCCGATGCCGGAACAGCGTGTTGATAATTACAAGCCCATGGGCTGCACAAAAATCTAGCAGCCTCCTACCGTTGTTATTGAGCTGATCTGGCCCATGCCTTCCAATCACTCCAGACCAGGTTCCAGCATCATGACCAACTTGGGCATTGAAGTTGCTAAAAAAGATGACTCTATCCCAACGGGCCACTTTAGCTAGCACCTGTGACAAGAGGTCAGAGTAGGCGTCTAACTCATCAGCCTGGCCTCCATCCCTCCACGGATGTTCATCTTCGGTGGGGGCATAAGTAACCACGACCACCACTTCTCGCCTCTGGTTGATGGGAAGGCGAGCCCACAGTAGCCTGGGGCTTACAGATTCCCACACCTCACTGCCATGCTCCCACGCCCCCTTCATTATTTTGTTTAGAAGAAGAGCCACTCCCCCCTGTTGTTTGGCAGTCTCCTGGACCGAGTAAAGGACTGCCCACCCCTCGTGGTGGCAGGAGCCAGAGCCAGGCCACCGGACCTCCTGAATATCACAGAGGTCCAGGCGGTGCTGGTCCAGCTCCTGACAGAGGAGTGGCAGCCTCTCTTTCGAACATTCCATGTGGGTAAGGATTCAGTCTCCTGGCTCCGCCAAATGGGGTTTGGCCAGGAGACGTCATAGACACCTGTCCCCCTAGGGCCTCCAGTACAAGCTTAATTAAAGTTTAAATTAGTGGTTTAATGGTAATTAATTGAAGGTTGGAGGGGTTACCAGCCCCTCGCACCCATCCAGAGCCCCCTTTGGCTGCTGTGGTGGCTATAAATGTCATGAGGGGAATGGCCAATAAAAATTTGCCCTCCACCCATGGCACTGCTCCCCACAGCGTTGCTGTCCGGCACCAACGAGGAGGTAGGGGGTTGTTTTTCCGGACTCAACATACATACAAATAGAAGCACACACACAAAAAAAACACTAATTTAATAAAGCACTCACATATGTACATAAACATGCAGCCACAAATACACAAATACCCAGGCTCACACATAGATCCACACACAGCCACATACGTGATTGGCGTTACTTTATTTTTAATCACAGTTGAGCACAGGAACAAATTCCCAAAATGCTTAGTCGCCAGCAAAAAACATCACTGTAAAATGTTTAATTAGGTAACTGACAAATTCCTTAAATTGCGCAAGGTTACAAACTCATATAGAAACACAAAGATTCTAAAGTGAGTCTATGGGTCTATGTGAGCCTATGGGTCTATATGTAAGTCTATGGGTTTCTGTGTGAGTCAATGAGTCTCTATGTGAGTATATGTATCTCTGAGTCTTTGGGGTCTCAAATGCAAGTTTATGGGTCCCTATAAAAGTATATGGGTCTCTGCGATTCAATGGGTCTTTATGCAAGTCTATGGTTCTCTTAGTGAGTCTATGGGTCTTCTACATTCGTCTATAGGTCTCAATACAAGTCTGGTCTCTGTCAGTCTATACGTCTCTGTGAGGCTATGGGTCTATGTATAGATGTTGCTGGGTAAGGCCGGTGGCTTCATCAACGTCTGCAGCTGCGGAAGGCTCGGCGCTAAGAGCTGCAAGAAGTGGTGAAGTAGGGGGACAAAGAAAAACACATCACGCAGCATGATGAGTGTGTGACAGCATGAGTGTGAGTGAGTGAGGAGGGGAGGTGTAGCAGTTAGCACGCTGCACTACGAACCTAGAGAGCCGAGTTCGAATCTCACTCGCAGCCAACACCAATGACGATTAACTGAACTAGTCGTGGGCCTCCCCTAGGTCGACTCAGCCTCATTTGAGGACCTGGTGCAATGTTTAAATATCATCACTAGGGAGACAAAGGCGGTCGGGAGTTTTGGTGGTCAGGGGTGGTGCTGGCCCCCCCATCCCTACGTGATGTGCTGGCTTTCGTTGATGCTCGCTAACAACACTTGCCCTAACAGTCTGTGAAGGCTATATGGGGAATCTTTGTCTTTGTACGAGGATAACAACAACCACTGTTCGCCACTAAGTGGAGGCAATGCCAACAGAAGAGAGGGTGAATGGTTGCGAGACAGAGGGGCATGAGTGCTAAACCTTTGTGTGAGGTAGTGAGATGCGGAGTGCAACCCCTGCGTACAACCATGAGCCGGGCTGGCACTCCACAGCAGTTGGAGGGGGAGGGGGGTATATGGGTCTCTGCTCAGGGCTAGTGTGGCAAGGGGCCGTCCCTCCACCACGTGGTGCCCATCACACCGGGGCTCCGGCCACAGGGCTGACGTATTTCACAAGCTCGGGAAGGAGTATTCCTCATTTTGGGAGATGGAGACGTGGACAAAGATTCAGAAGCATGGGCTAGCGAAATGGGAGCTACCTCAGGCCAGCCCCCGCTGCCCTGGGGAGATTTCAGACTGCACCAGCTAACCAATTTTGCCACCCTGCTCGCACAGGCTTTGTATCGCGTGACATCTTCCCGTTGATGGGGAGGTCTTCTTCTTTCATATGGCTGATGTAGATGCAGAGCAACTACATTTTCACATTCAGGTGGTCAAGCCAGATAACCACGTCAGGAGTAGCGGAGTGTATCGCTGGGATGTCTCCTTCATATTTGTGGATCAGGCATTGCATCATTATGTTGTATGGTCTGTTCTGAGTGACCACAGTCACACACTGAAGAGTTTTTTATTTTACATTTGTGCATTAGGTATCCGCATCTGCTGCCATGGTTTGTGCGGATGCGGTTTAGGGTGGACCTTATCTTCAGGGATCACTGACTCGACCAGAGGGCGGATTCTCCAGAAGATGATGCATTCCAGGAGTTTATAGGTCGTGCCCAGGAGTGATATTGGCTTATCGCTTCCCGGATCATTAGTTGGCTTTCCCAGTTTAGGTATGGTGATAACCATTGCTTCCCACCATGCTTTTTGGATGCATCCGGTTTTCATGTTTGTGTAAAGCTTTGCCAGGCATTGGAGTCCCCTAGGGCCTAATTGGTGGAGAAATTCTGGAGGATTTCATCTCTGCCAAGAGCTTTGCCTTTCTTCATTGCAGCCAGACTGTCCCTCACTTCCTTTGTGCTGATGGCGGTGGGGTCTTGTGAAGAAATTGAGGCCATTGTCTGGTGTAATTGGCTATGGATCTCTTGCTTGATGTCTTTGTCAAGAGGTCCTTTTGTGTTCTCCACTAGTTTGGAGGCTATAGAGTTGGGCAGGACTTTTGAGGTCCAGTATTGGATTAGCAGCACCCAGGCATCATAGTAGGGCCCAGGCACGGTGGCTGGAGTGTGTGAATTCCAGGGCTTCAACACACTCAATCCACCGCATCTGGCTGAGTCTAAAGACTCTAGCAGGGCCTATCCAATATGTGGGCTGCCTAACTGGTTGTGCTTTCAGAGCAGGTCCTAGGAATCCTTTGTCCAGCATGGAGAGTATTATTTCCAGAAGCCTCGGGTGGCGATGCTCTTCTTGGAGGCTGCTGTAAGGAGGCCAATAAAACGGTGATAGCATTCCAGTGTGATGGGAATTCTACTCACCACTATCTCTACAGCCTCCTTATAGTGATCCCAGTCATCTTTGACCAGGTTCCACCTTGGAAATCATTTTGACACAATCACAGGGATTTTTATGCCAATGTGGGTGATGATGGGCCTATGTTGACTTTTGGGGAAGCTTGTAAGTATTTTGCAGGATGCATGCAGTGTGCTCCCACTTTGATATTTGGAAACTATGGTGAGGTCTGGGTTGTAGTGGTGTTGCCAGCAAGCAGAGTGGAACGTTTCTTGTTGCTTGGGATCGAAAACCAGATGCAGATCTTCGGCGGGGATCCAGTCAGAGAGGTCTTCGCCGTCGGCATGATCAATGTATAGGGCTGGGATTGGTACACTTGGGATTGCTGGCTTTGGCCATTTTGCATTAGAGGCTTTGTACACTATGGTGATGTGCGGCTCCCCTATTTCGATACTGGTGGTGTAGGTGGCTTCTTTTTCAAATGGTGGGAAGGCATATAACTTTGATGATGAGGAAGTGAGCCTAGGGCAGCCTAGTCTGGCACCTAATCTGGCACCTAATCTGGCACAAGCGCCACAGAGATGTCACCGCCACTTAGTGGCAAACGGTAGTTGTTGTTGTGTGACTGAGTGTGAGTGTAATCGAATGTGGGTGTAAGGGTGGGGAGTGGTAGTGTTGTGGTTAGCATACTGTGCTATGACCCCAGCAATCCGAGTTCGATTCCTGCTCATGGCAAACAGTGACAATTATGTGAATGGGTTTTGGGATTCCCTTAGGTTGATTCAGCTTCAATGTGAAAAGGCGGTCAGGTGTGGTGCTGGCCATCTACCCCATCATGTGCCTTCACAGGTGATTGCTAGCAGCATTTGCCACAAAAGTATTAATTAAGGTTACACGGGGGATCTTTGTGTGTGAGGGTGTGTGTGTCTGAGTGCGAGTGAATGAGAGTCGGTGAGAGTGAGTGACCTCACCGGAGTGAGGCCTGTGAGAGGTGGGAGACTCAGGACCGGCAGGAAGGCACGGGTGCTGGGGAGGTCGGGGGCAGGGGCCTCCGAGTAGAGGAGATACAGGGCGACTGGCACTTCCCTTAGCACCGCCTCGCTCACCACTACAACCATCAAGCAAAATCACAACCACATCAAACACCTCCACATTAACCAAAACAATATTAACTACAACCACATGATCATGGAGCTTATGCTACATAACCCACCACATCAACCACAACCAACACCACATTAACCATAGCCACAACCAACCACAACAGCCGCCATTCGTGACGTCACCACGTGGCTTGTGTCAGGCTAGGTGCACTTGGGGCCACGTAAAATGTCGAAGGCTCACTGGCAGGTCACGGGACAGACCTAGGTTACATGGGTTGCCTGTCTGAGATGACTGGCAGATGCATCACCTGTGCCCTCTACTGTGCCAACTTGCTGCATTTTAGCCGCATGGCACTCCAATTGTTGTTGTGAGCGTCGCTGCTGTGCCCTCCACTGTAGCTGGAGGGCAACTGCCTCCAACTGCCTAGTAGCATCCTTCATGAGCTGCCTCCATAGATACCAATCTTAACATCGCTGGTACCAATCTTCGGCAAGTCCACCTCTTTTCTAGCCTGTGCCGTGCCCATTTCGCCTGCTCTATTCAGGCAAACGGAAGCAGCTTAGGTTTGCGGTGGCTGGCCATGTGGGCTACATGACCCAGCCAATGTAGCCTTACCTGATGGATGGACTCACTGATGGGACTGTGTCCAGATCTTTCGAAGGTTTGTGAACTCCTCACAATCCAGCCTGGTTAAACCCAGGATGGATCATAGGCAGGCCAGACTGAATGATTCTAACCGGCACAGGGATCCACAACCACCACCACATTAACCACAACCACCACAACAATATCTACAAATTGAGCCCACGACAGGCACCTGCAGCAGGCAGCCCAGTTGCATGCATGGGGGGAGGAAGGAGGGGCCATGCCAAGGGGTCCTTCCAGGGGGCAGAGCTCAGGGTCCTTCCGAGTGGTGCAGCCAGCAGCTCCGATGCCCGCAGTCCAGACAGTACAAGGACCCGGCCCCGCACAGGGTCAGCCAGAGTCACCAACTACACAAAGCAATCCTGTTATCTACAAACCCAATAACCACAATCCTCTGATTCTTTCAGTAAAGTCACGTAGAATGAAAATAAATAAAATAATAGAATACGACGTTTCGATTGCAACACAAGCAGTCGTCATCAGGCAGAACTAAATTTGAGAAAGAGACAAAACACATACATGGAGACACAGACAAACACATAAGCAGAGAGAGACAACACAGAGAGACACACAACATAGACACACAGAGACCCAATGCCTCTGTGTTGTGGCCTTAAATAAAGGGAGAGGTGGGTCTGCTGGAGCAGAGAAATGACCATGTCAATGAGAGAGCTGTGTGAAAATCCACCCCGCGGCGGCAGGGGGAGAGAAAGAGCGAATGGACCTATGAGAGCCTGGTAAATTTTAGAGAGAGAAATAGGCAGTTTGAGAAAAAAACTTACCAATTTTTTGGAAATGTAATGCAATGCAGAGAGTCGGCTAATACAGTTCACGCATAGCCTGGTTGATTACATTCTCCAGAGATTGCTAAATTAGAAGTTAAGCGTGAAATTTGATAGAGACCCACAGAGGTGGTTCAAACTTGATTTGAAGCTTTCGTGACTGCAGGAATTACGCTTTGGTTCTTTCGGTAAAGTCACGTAGAAAGAAAATAAATTAAACAATGGAATACGACGCGGGGTGGATTTCCACACAGCTCTAATTTAGCAATCTTTGCATAATGTAATCGACCAGGCTATGCGTTAACTGTGTGTTAGCCGACTCTCTGCGTTGCATTGCATTACATTTCCAAAAATTTGCAAAGTTTGTTTACTCAAACTGCCTATTTCTCTCTCTAAAATGTACCAGGCTCTCATAGGTCCATTCGCTCTTTCTCTCCCCTGGCCACTTCCGGGTGGATTTCCACACAACTCTCTCTAAAATTTACCAGACTTGTTGGGTCTTTCTCTCCCCCTGCTGCCACGGGGAGGATTTCCACACAGCTCTCTCATTGACATGCTAATTTCTCTGCTCTAGTAGACCCACCTCTCTCTCTGCCCCCCCCCCCACTCTCTCTCTATTTAAGGCCACGGACACAGAGGCATTGGGTCTCTCTCTGCTTGTGTGATTGTCTGTGTCTCCGTGTCTGTGTTTTGTCACTCTCTCAAATTTAGTTCTACCTGATGACGACTGCTTGTGTTGCAATCTAAACGTCGTATTCTATTATTTAATTTATTTTCTTTCTACGTGACTTTACCGAAAGAACCAAAGAGTAATTCCTGCAGTCACGAAAGCTTCAAATCAAGTTTGAACCACAATCCTATTCTCTGTATTTAATTACCTGTATACAATTATTTGGAAATACTATTATTTGTAATATATCACCACTGTCATGGAGCTGAGGATTTACAGAGATACACTATTATCCAATTATCCACTAATTTTATTATCTGTATGAGTTTATGAATCAGCCGTTTTGAAACCTGACCCAGCCATTATAAAACCCATGAGGAGAGAAACCAATAATTTACATGTTGCTGGCTTATTATCTCTGACCTGTCCATTATGAATCCCTCTGTCCATTCAACAACATTCACCAATATCCTGACACACTCCTGGTCCATGGGAACACATGGTCACCAAAGCTGGCTTGTGATTAGTTGTGCCACTTACCTGCTTCGCCCAATCATGAAGCAGCTCCTCTGGGATGGTGTAAGCACACAGCGCCACCCACACCTGGACAGAGACCAGGAAGCATAGGAGTGAATCAGTACCACAGTGGGCATTGCTGTCTAATGTGTAGCTTCGCAGCACTACGACATGCCGCTGTGCCTTCAGTACCTCTGGTGAATCTCTGTGTTGGTAGATGCGACACGTCTGCACCCCCCACTTTTCCCCGGGGGGTGCAGGGGGGGCAGGGGTCGTGCCCTGTGGGTGCAAGGACCCCCTCTGCACCCATGATTGACCCCCCAAACCCAGCACAAATACTTGCACGAACCCTGAGGGCACAGCACATGGACAAGCAGCCAGCAACAAACAGCACTATTAGAGTGTAAAACGTTTATAGAAATTAGGCGATTATTATGAGAGCTTGTAAAAAGAGAAAATGGAAGGGAGGCCTAGAGTGAGTTGGTTAGTCGGTAAGTGGGTGAGTGGTTGAGCAAGTGAATGTAGTTAATAAGTGAGTGCTGGATCATTAATCATCCTGACTACTGCTGCTTCACTCTGGATGGCAACATGATTCAAACTTCAGGCAAATGTGTGCTTTGTATAGCAGTCACTGCAGTGTAAAGTATAATATTCTGGTCACTGTGCAGTGTAGCAAACGCTAGTCATTATGTAAACGTGCTGTAAGGGCACATTGGGGTGATGCAAGGGCACATAGGCATACCCTAACTATTCAATCAAAGGTGGCTGGAACACAGCTATGAAGGAAAAAGCACGGAATTGGCTAAGGACTGGGAGAGAGATTTGAAGGGAAAGAGAAAGGGAGAGCGAGAGGCAGACAGACAGGCCAAGGGACAGGTTTGGTGGAGAAAAGGGGATCGTGGAGATTAGAGTAACTAGTTGGAGGGATCCTGCGAGATCGGGGAGAGTGTATAGAGATGGGATGTGACGGATGTGAGGGATCCTGAAGAAGCAGCTCCCTTACCGGTGCATGTGTTGTAGTGCGAGGGATTTTTAATAAAGCCCGAAGATCACCTGGTGTGGACTCCCTTTCAATTAAACAAATTATATCTTGTGATGCTGCTGCGTTAGAAGTGGTGCATGAACACAAAACTCAACACGTTTATCAACAACACTGTGAAGAAGAGCCATTGCATGAAACGTCACAAGATTTTTTTAGATTGTCTCCTTGGTAACCCTGGCATGTACCGCATGATTATCATCTTGTCCTCATGACGGTGATAATGGTGATAATGATGGAGATTGGTGGTGGTGATAATTGTGTTGATGATGGTGATAATAGTGATGATATGATTGTAGTGCTGATGATGGTGTTGATGGTAGTGCTGATGGTGGTAATGGTGTTAATGATAGTGGTGATAAAGGTGATGGCGATCATAGTATTAATAGAGGTAATGGTACCAAGAGCGTGTTCTCCTGTAGCGAGGATGAGTGTGCAGCAGGAGGATGGGATTGTGCCATCACTCCAGGACATCACCACACGACTGTAAACATCAACACCACCACCATCATCACCATCACCCCCATCATCACCAACATCATCATTATCACGACCATCGACATCACCATCATCGATCACATTATAACCACCACCATCACCATTATCACTATCATCACCATTATCACTATCATCACCATCATCTCCCCCATCACCATGTGCGAGTCTTTAGGTCTCTTTGTGAACCTATGGGTTTCTGTTCGAGTGTATCTGTGCGAATCTGTATGTCTATGTGAGTGTCTGTGTGAGTATGTATGTCTGTGTGATTATATGGGTGTGTGTGAGTTTGTATGTCTATGTGAGTGTTTCTGTGTGAGTATGTATGTCTGTATCAGTCTATGGGTCTCTCTGTAAGTCTCTATGCCTATGTGAGTCTGTTAGTCCGTTTGAGTCGATGATTCGCTATGTAAGTCTATAAGTCTCTGTGCGAGTATGAGTCTACGAGTCTCGAGGTGGTACCTCTCCTCCTCTTCACTCTCCTCGTCGTCTCCGCTCTCCTCGTCGCTCCCCGCTCGTGAAAACACGGGCAGCACCTCCCCAAAGAACGAGGCCATGGTCACTCACCCGACTCACCCCTACTCACACTCCAAAGACAAAAAGACCCCAGTATCGCCTTTAACATACTGTAGAAGCAAGTGTTGTTATCGAGCACCTATTAAGGCCGAAATGGCACAAAAGGGGTGGGTGGCCAGCACCACGGCCGGCCGCCTTTGTCTCCCTAGTGGTGATATTTACTTCACACCACTACAGTTACTCATTTGAGGCCTAGTGCATTTAGGGGAAGCCCAAGACCGGTTCACATTTTCGTCACGAGCGGGAATCGAACTCAAGCCGCCAGATTCGTAGTGCAATGCGCTAGCCACTGCACTATTGCTCCCCACTCACTCACCTCTATTCACCCACACTCAACACTACTCACCTTCAATCACCTCTACTCACCCTCACTCACCTCTACTCACCCTGACCCACCTCTACTCACCCTGACCCACACTCACTCACCCCTACTCACCCTCACTCACCCATAGTCAGTCTCACCTCAACCTCACTCACCCTGACTCACCCTCACCCACCCCGACTCACCCTCACTCACCCCATATCACAAATACTCACCCTAATTTACCCTAAATCACACCTGCTCACCTCACTCACCCCTACTCACCCTCACTCACCTTGACTCACCCTCACTCACCCTCACTCACACCGACTCACCTAACTCACCCCTACTTACCCATACTCACCCATACACATGCCTACTCACCCTCACTCACCTCACTCACCCCTAATCACCCTCACTCACCCCATATCACAAATACTCACCCTAATTTACCCTAAATCACACCTGCTCACCTCACTCACCCCTACTCACCCTCACTCACCCTCACTCACCCCGACTCACCCTCACCCGGACTCGCCCTCACTCACTCTCACTCACCCCTACTCAACCCTCTCACCACTCACCTTTACTCACCCTCACTCACCCCTACTCACCATCACTCACCCATAGTCAGTCTCACCTCAACCTCACTCACCCCTACTCACCCTTACTCACCCCGACTCATCTCACTCACCCTGACTCACCCTCACTCCCCCGACTCAACCCACTCACCTCTACTCACCCCTACTCACCCTCACTCACCTTCACTCACCGCATCTCACCCCTACTCACCCTCACTCACCTTCACCCACCCTCACTCATCCCTACTTACCCCTACTCACCCTCACTCACCTTCACTCACCCTCACTCACCCCTACTCACCCTCACTCATCCCTACTCACCCTCACCCCTATTCACCCTCACTCACCTTCGCTCACCCTCACTCATCCCTACTCACCCTCACTCACCCCTATTCACCCTCACTCACCCTCACTCATCCCTACTCACCCTCACCCATAGTCAAGTCTCACCTCAACCTCACTCACCCTGACTCACCCTCACTCACCCCGACTCACCCTCACCCGGACTCGCCCTCACTCACCCTCACTCATCCCTACTCACCCTCACTCACCCCTATTCACCCTCACCCACCCTCACCCACCCTCACTCACCCCATATCACAAATACTCACCCCTACTCACCCTCACTCACCCATAGTCAGTCTCACCTCAATCTCACTCACCCCGACTCATCTCACTCACCCTCACTCACCCTGACTCGACCTCACCCACCCCGACTCACCCACCCTCACCCTGACTCACCCTCACTCACCCCTACTCACCCTCACTCACACCGACTCACCTAACTCACCCCTACTTACCCATACTCACCCATACACATGCCTACTCGCCCTCACTCACCTCACTCACCCCTACCCACCCTCACTCACCCCATATCACAAATACTCACCCTAATCTACCCTAAATCACACCTGCTCACCTCACTCACCCCTACTCTCCCCTACTCACCCTCACTCACCCATAGTCAGTCTCACCTCAACCTCACTCACCTTGACTCACCCTCACTCACCCTGACTCACCCTCACTCACCCCGACTCACCCTCACCCGGACTCGCCCTCACTCACCCTCACTCACCCCTACTCAACCCTCTCACCACTCACCTTTACTCACCCTCACTCACCCCTACTCACCGTCACTCACCCATAGTCAGTCTCACCTCAACCTCACTCACCCCTACTCACCCTCACTCACACCAACTCACCTAACTCACCCCTACTTACCCATACTCACCCATACACATGCCTAGTCGCCCTCACTCACCTCACTCACCCCTACCCACCCTCACTCACCCCATATCACAAATACTCACCCTAATTTACCCTAAATCACACCTGCTCACCTCACTCACCCCTACTCTCCCCTACTCACCCTCACTCACCCATAGTCAGCCCACCTCAACCTCACTCACCTTGACTCACCCTCACTCACCCTGACTCACCCTCACTCACCCCGACTCACCCTCACCCGGACTCGCCCTCACTCACCCTCACTCACCCCTACTCAACCCTCTCACCACTCACCTTTACTCACCCTCACTCACCCCTACTCACCGTCACTCACCCATAGTCAGTCTCACCTCAACCTCACTCACCCCTACTCACCCTTACTCACCCCGACTCATCTCACTCACCCTGACTCACCCTGACTCACCCCGACTCAACCCACTCACCCCTACTCACCCCTACTCACCTTCACTCACCCTCACTCACCGCATCTCACCCCTACTCATCCTCACTCACCCTCACCCACCCTCACTCATCCCTACTTACCCCTACTCACCCTCACTCACCTTCACTCACCCTCACTCACCCCTACTCACCCTCACTCATTCCTACTCACCCTCACTCACCCCTATTCACCCTCACTCACTTTCGCTCACCCTCACTCATCCCTACTCACCCTCACTCACCCCTATTCACCCTCACTCACCCTCACTCATCCCTACTCACCCTCACTCACCCCTATTCACCCTCACTCACTTTCGCTCACCCTCACTCATCCCTACTCACCCTCACTCACCCCTACTCAACCCACTCACCATCACTCACCTCTACTCACCCACCCTCACTCACCCCATATCACAAATACTAACCCCTACTCACCCTCACTCACCCATAGTCAGTCTCACCTCAACCTCATTCACCCCGACTCATCTCACTCACCCTTACTCACCCTCACTCACCCCTACTCAACCCTCTCACCACTCACCTTTACTCACCCTCACTCACCGTCACTCACCCATAGTCAGTCTCACCTCAACCTCACTCACCCCTACTCACCCTCACTCATCCCTACTCACCCTCACTCACCCCTATTCACCCTCAATCACCCTCACTCACCCCTACTCACCCTCACTCACCCTCACTCACCCCTACTCAACCCACTCACCATCACTCACCTCTACTCACCCACCCTCACTCACCGTCACTCACCCCATATCACAAATACTCACCCCTACTCACCCTCACTCACCCATAGTCAGTCTCACCTCAACCTCATTCACCCCGACTCATCTCACTCACCCTCACTCACCCTCACTCACCCCTACTCAACCCTCTCACCACTCACCTTTACTCACCCTCACTCATCCCTACTCACCGTCACTCACCCATAGTCAGTCTCACCTCAACCTCACTCACCCCTACTCACCCTCACTCACCCATAGTCAGTCTCACCTCAACCTCACTCACCCCGACTAATCTCACTCACCCTCACCCTCATTCACCCCTACTCAACCCTCTCACCACTCACCTTTACTCACCCTCACTCACCCCTACTCACCGTCACTCACCCATAGTCAGTCTCACCTCAACCTCACTCACCCCTACTCACCCTTACCCACCCCGACTCATCTCACTCACCCTGACTCAACCTCACTCATCCCTACTCACCGTCACTCACCCATAGTCAGTCTCACCTCAACCTCACTCACCCCTACTCACCCTCACTCACCCATAGTCAGTCTCACCTCAACCTCACTCACCCCGACTAATCTCACTCACCCTCACCCTCACTCACCCCTACTCAACCCTCTCACCACTCACCTTTACTCACCCTCACTCACCCCTACTCACCCTCACTCACCCATAGTCAGTCTCACCTCAACCTCACTCACCCCGACTAATCTCACTCACCCTCACCCTCACTCACCCCTACTCAACCCTCTCACCACTCACCTTTACTCTCCCTCACTCACCCCTACTCACCGTCACTCACCCATAGTCAGTCTCACCTCAACCTCACTCACCCCTACTCACCCTTACCCACCCCGACTCATCTCACTCACCCTGACTCACCCTCACTCATCCCTACTCACCCTCACTCACCCCTACTCATCCTCACTCACCTTCACTCACCGCATCTCACCCCTACTCACCCTCACTCACCCACCCTCACTCATCCCTACTTACCCCTACTCACCCTCACTCACCTTCACTCACCCTCACTCACCCCTACTCACCCTCACTCATCCCTACTCACCCTCACTCACCCCTATTCACCCTCACTCACTTTCGCTCACCCTCACTCATCCCTACTCACCCTCACTCACCCCTATTCACCCTCACTCACCCTCACTCACCCTCACTCACCCCTATTCACCCTCACTCACCCTCACTCACCCCTACTCACCCCTACTCAACCCACTCACCATCACTCACCTCTACTCACCCTCACCCACCCTCACTCACCCCATATCACAAATACTCACCCCTACTCACCCTCACTCACCCATAGTCAGTCTCACCTCAATCTCACTCACCCCGACTCATCTCACTCACCCTCACTCACCCTGACTCACCCTCACCCACCCCGACTCACCCTCACTCACCCTGACTCACCCTCACTCACCCCTACTCACCCTCACTCACACCGACTCACCTAACTCACCCCTACTTACCCATACTCACCCATACACATGCCTACTCGCCCTCACTCACCTCACTCACCCCTACCCACCCTCACTCACCCCATATCACAAATACTCACCCTAATTTACCCTAAATCACACCTGCTCACCTCACTCACCCCTACTCTCCCCTACTCACCCTCACTCACCCATAGTCAGTCTCACCTCAACCTCACTCACCCTGACTCACCCTCACTCACCCTGACTCACCCTCACTCACC